TTTGGGAAACACTGATCTAATCAATGTGTTTCACTCTTTGTATTAGTAGTTTTAAACACTGGTAATCAAATGGACAGAAAATCTGCTACAGATAGCCTTTTCAGTTGTGGATATTAAAAACAAAACAAAATCAATCTTATGTAGTTTTGGTCAAAGCTTCAAAGAGCTACATGCGGCTCCAGAGCCACAAGTTGCAGACCCCTGGTCTAATATACTTTTATTTCTTTAATAAGTCCCCWTCGTAGCAGAATGAGGTTTCAAATCCTAAAATCTCTGCTGCTCTTCTAATCAATGAGGCCTCAGTTCTGATCAATGACCCTGTTAACTTCTGCACATAGATTGTTTTCATTCTGTGCTGYGATGCAGAAAAGCTTCTGCTATTAGCTTTTAAATTATTCACTTAATGCAAAAACAAGCAGGTTCAAGGTCACAGATATGAACAAACGGGCTGCGTGTTGAAAACRGTTTTATAAATCGTTTTTATCACRAAGCAAAATCTAGTTCAAACAAAGTCTGAGGACATCAGAGTCATCATGTGGATCTGCGTGGAAATCCTTCAAACGTTCACAATCAACCTTGAATAAAAAGTCTGACGTCATCTCTCTGCTCAGTTTATTAACAAAAACAGAGTTTCTTACTGAACAGGAAGTCATCTGAACACAAATCTAAAACAAGAATAAGAGAATAATTTCCTCCTGCGTCGGACTGAGAGTAAATTTAAATCCGATCTCCCCTTCCTTCCAGTCAGATTGTTGAGAAATGGAGTCCATTTATCCTCACAAAGGTCTGCTTTAATCACTCCGTATTGATTAGTTATTTAGTGGAACGAGCTGATGTTGCAGCTAATGCTTCTCTCTGTGAGTGATACGCCGTCAAAATGTTTTCCTCACATCTAATGTGCAGCAAGAGTCCAGCAGAATGAGCTCATTCATCAATTTCTATGTGATTTTGCTCCATTTCAGAGTAAAACAAATATAAATAAATAAACCGGGGCATGATTCAGGACAGGGCTTTTCTTGTGATTGATGAGGCGCAAACCTTGGCATTTCACTTGTAGCTCTGAAGTAAAAAGCAGAAAATCTTAAAATAAAGGATTTTAATTTTAAAAATGAAACAACTGGGGGGAAATCATGCAACATAACACAACATCACATGAGATTGTGCTGAAAAATTCTGTTTAATAATCAAAACATTAAATATATTTTAATTGTTTACATCCCAGGTTTAGATTTCTTTAATATTTCCAGCTTCTCTTGTTCTTTTTTTTCCTAACAATGTGACTGAATTTGTTTCTGGTTGTATTGGATTTGTGTTGTCACTCAGTCTGTTGTGTTTTGTTCGTCACGGCYGAGCCTGAGTCCTCTCAGAGCCCGAATCACGTCTCTGATGGCCTCTGTCAAATCCCCCTCCACCTGCTGGCCTTTCCCCCGCTGCAACTCTATAAATTACAAAGACAAGACGTGTTTGTGGAAGGAAACAACTTGAAGGCCGCTATTGGATCAGCGCGCGACACAAATAACACTTCATCAAACAATTCTGCCACTGAAGCCAGGAAATGCCAGAGCTGGACCCAAAATTGAAACGTCTATAGCAATTTCAGGTTTGTCTTGACACCAGGAGGGTAAAACATGAGAGTCAAACGTTTGTATTTTTAGGAAAATGTTAACTGAAAGCTACAGTTTAATGCAACTTCATTTGAAATAAAAAAAAGCATTAGCAGAAAGAAGTAAATGTAGAAATTAGCAGAAGGATAGCTAAAATATAAAAACATCTAAAATTACTGTTCAAAAGAATGTCCCAACACAGACGAGCTACATCTAATGGCCAGAACTCTGCAGTTTTCACTCATTTAC